AAATGAAAAACCTCACATTCACAAAAACAACAGAAAACTGTAACTTTTTTCTTCTTTCCTGACAGTCCAGTATTCACTGATGAAGAACCAGACTGACTGGGTGCAGACTGATCACATTCTGCGGTGGGAATTGATTCAGCTTTTGCATGTATAGTAACATTCTTCTTGACACTTGCCGAATGTAAGTTGTCTCTGGCCTCATCGCTCCTGTCCAGTTCCTCGTCCTTTCAAAAGAAAAATAAATATAAATACAATAAATGCATAAGCATCGCGACAGGTGGACAGTACTTATACTTATCATTGGAGGCGTATCAAATGAAATGTTCAGTGAATAGTGTTAGTATTGACGTTCAATTTTGTATGTTGTTTCATTGATCAATTCATAAAATATCATGCCGTCTATGCTAAGGAATGACCATTGTTTTTCAACCACATTTCCCTCTTTCGTCTCTGGCCTTCTCTCACTTGCCAAGCAATAAGCGGAGAACCTTATCCTGAGCAAAGTTGTTCCAGTAAAAATAGATTTTATTATACCTATTTGGAAAAATGGCATCAAGCAGGCTGACTCTATACTTCCTACGCCTTCAAGATGGCTCTTAGTGCAATTTCCAATATAGTGCAATTGAATCTATTAATCTGCTGTCAAAAATAGTGGTTACAATTTGAATTCAAAGTTTTTACTTATAGATGATATCTAAGGTTTAGGTGATATTTAAGGGCATCAAAATCACTCCTTTATACTGAACTTCAAATTCAGATTGTAACCGTCATTTTTGAAAGCAAATTTATAGACTCGATTGCACTATATTGAAAATTGCACTAAAAGCTGTCTCTAAGGGGTAGGACGTATAGAGTCAACCTACTTGACACCATTTTTTCAAATAGGTATAATAAAATCTATTTTTACAGTAAAAACTTCGCTCAGAGATAAGCTTTGTCGCTTGTTGTTTGGCAAGTGAGAGAAGGCCAGAGACGAAAGAGTTTTTAATCCCTCCAAAAATGTTTTTGAAAATGATCGGGATTCTCTGAAACGTCAAATACGAAGTTTTTTGAACGTTTTTTTGAATATCTACATTTACCTGTTTTGATCCGTAAAAGGCAACAACTGCTTTTTGCTCTAAGGAAAAATCATAATTTTATCGCCTTCGGAGGTCGAGGGGGTAAAACCTGTTAGAAAAGGTGTGGAAAAACGGAATCATGCATCCACTATATGGGTTACTATTTTGCCAAGAACTTATGGCGTCATCGCAAACAATGTGATGCAAACCCGGAGAAGGGATCGTCGGGCAAACGATCACAGACTTTAGGACAAACTTTGTTATTGAATTATAAAGGTAGATAATGAGCTCAAAGCAAAAGCATTTCATCGCATGAGACCTGACAAAGTTTCAAGTTGCAAAAGATGATAATATGTGCGCATGCTTGCTGATATCTGAAACTTCACAGGGAACTACAATTTGTCCAAGTCGTTTCTAGGAAAATGGGAGAAGTGGCTTGACTTCTAATGGAATTAGATTTGTCTGTGATTACCCTATTGATTGCTATAAAAACACATAGATATGACATACTTGTGAAAGCAACTAAGTTAACATCAGGATATGATGATGAAAGCCAAGCTTATAGATCCCCGACATATGCTATGAACATGGGTACAACCTTGAAAAAATGTTGCGGTGTGGCTCTTTTACACGTTTTGAAAAAAATCTGAGTCACTGCCAACAGTAGATAATGCAAACATTGGTTCCATTAGCTAGTGATCTTAAACTATTGAAGGATTATCTTATGAAAGTAGCTGCAAATCAGGTGTCAGTGCTACAAAAAGTTCAGGTAATGAAAAAGCATGCACGTCTTGACTGGAGACAGTTTAATGTAGGATGCTTTCATTAAAGAGGAGGCGGCCTGGAAAACTACAACGACTTCCCATAAATGTTTACAAATCCGCTATATCTGACGAACACAATCAAGCCTATAAGGAGTTTTCGGAAGCAATAACGGAAACCGAGAGAATTCTAATGAGATCTAACAAACGAATGGAAATTCGTGGAAAAAGAGGCAGAGGTGTTCCAGTTCTTATAAGCAAGGATGTACATGAGCACTTGAATCTAAAACTAGAGTGTAAAGATAATATTCAGACGGTGTCGAACATAAATCTTTTCGGTAAACCCAATTCATAAGAACCTATCATCGGTTACAAATCCGCATGCCCTGACTAGCACCCGTCTGAGAAAGGTCATAGCAACTTTGACCCAATTGTTAAACATGTCAGAAAATGACGTGGAACAACTCGCATCTTTTATGGGACATACACTAGGTATCCACCGTGCATGATACCGATTACCAGATGATGTCTACCAAACGGCTAGACTCTCCAAGATTTTGACGTTGATAGACAAGGGCGAGGCAGGTCATTTCAAAGAAAAATCCCTAGAAAAAATTGAATTGAATCTGGACGAGAATTTGATATCAGAAGCGCAGCAGGATAATGACCACCCAGAGCCTCTATATCAATATGAAGAAATCCAAGAACCGCATCCAGATTCGGAATCTCAACAAGTGGATGAAACGTTACCGAAGAAAAAGACCGGTTCTTGTTCCTTGGACTGAAGATCAGAAAACTGACAAGGAAGTATTCTAAAGTATTTTCATGTTATATGACATGTAGATCACTCATTTCCGTCAGTCTGTCCGCCGCTCTGCTGCTGTGTCGAGTCCTTGATTACTTGAGGGGGAAGGTTACCACTAGACCAGGGACAGAAAAGCTACCTATATAGTTTTTAAGAGCGTTCCAGTGCCGGCGGAGAAAAAGTTAAAAACAAAAAAAGAAATCTCATAAACTTCGTTTTTTATTGTTTCAGATACTGATCATTTTTGAGAAAAAAATTTGTGGTGGAAAATTAGCGAGTTGGAGGTTGTAGAGGGTGGGACGGGTATATCTCTTTTTTATTTAGTTTAATGATACACTTCCAATCCCTAGTAATTTCTTCGCAATCTATTTGACACATTCTAAACATCATAGATTCCCCTCACATAGCAACGTTTTGATGGAAAAGATGTTATAGTTATTAATTGGAAAGATCGAAAAAAATCAAAAAATTTGAAGTTGAAAAATATTAAAATTGTAAAATTACAAAATTAAAATATCGGATTGGCTACACAACTCCACCCAATCCAAATTTTTCAATGGGTACTTGAGTAGAATAATAGTAATATATTTACCTCAGCCCTCTTCCCTAGTGTGGGGGACTTTAATCTTCATCTTCTGCATCAGAAATTACAGAGATGATGGTGGTGTGCCAGCATATATTAGGCGAAGTAAGAGATATGAACTGAAATGAATGACAATATATCAGACATGGTTTTCATAAAGAATACATATATTGCTTTACCGAGCTGATTCACTTTGGTGGTCTGGATCTTCCACTTGCTCTCGTTATCGAGGTAACGTTTGTACTGAAAAAGAGGTTCAATAGAATAAAAAAGTTCACAGACTAGGCAGTGAATGATATTACCTCAGAGTCCTTGCCACAAGTTACTGCAATGAACATTTTCTGATAAACCGGGATATTGATGATGATGGGGTGTACAGCATATCTTGGGGGATGTAGAAGATATTACCTAGATAAATCATAATATGGGAACTCTACCAAAAAAAACATACTTAATGTTTTACCGAGTTGCAGTCACTGTGGTCGCTGTTTTGTTTAACCACAGATGACACCTTACGTGAATCAGTAATCACTGTTTCAGAAGTCTTATCTTTTTCTTCATCTCTTGGATGCTGTGTGATAGGTGATAGACCTCTGTTACAAAACCAATTTTTGCTCATATTGAAAGGCTTTCCCTGGAAAAGTTCAAATATATTGTTTTGTAATTATTCCGTTTCAAACTTAGAGAAATAATACCATTCCAAAAAAATAATAGATATACAATATCGACTATCTCAGGAAGAATACAACATGCTTTGTTTTAGTGAAAGATATTTGATAAGAGTGCTCTCAAAAATGTCAAAAAGCCAATTATATTAGAGTAATTTTTGTCATTAGCTTTTTTTCCCAATGAACTGACATCCACAAGCCATTTTTTTCCGTGCAAGCAATAGTATATGTTGATTGTCAAAGTAAAATACTTTATTTTTAATTGATTCTAGTAGCAATACCAGTGAATGATGTTCGAAATTTTACCAAACTCAATAATACGTAATGTGTTATCATTAAACACTATATCCATGCATTAACACTAGAACTTTTGAGGTGTACAGATACAGGAAATAGGTATGATTTCCTGTTTTCCTACGCAAATGTTTGATAAAGTCAGATATGTCAAATAGATCCGATAGAAAACCTTAGGAAATTACGATTCACTCCCTCATCAACTCCTAACCCTCAAAATTTATTTGGATAATGATCAAGAGCCCCTGAATCGTCAAAAAACAAAGTTTGAGCGATTTTCTATTTTTTCGTTGTGGCCTTTTCTCTGACGCCACTGGACCTATTTTTAAAAAGCTAAAGCTTTCTTGTCCATAGCCTCGTAGCAACCTTGTGTCTAAATTCATCAAAGTCCCAATGGTACTTTCCACGTTATAGCAGAAATGAGTATCATGGTTTTCCGTGATCTACATGTCATATAGCATCCAACAAAACATAATACCTCACTTTCAAAATATCTTGCGATTACAATACTTCCTCGACCGTTGACGTGGGAAGTAAAACATGATATCTCTGATTTGCAATTTTAGATTTAGAATTTTATCACCCCGCTACTGTACCATATAGGAAATAATCAACACAATCTCCCGTTTAAAATTATCATTGTCTACATATAAAGTCGAGCTACTTGACACCGTGAGTCAAAAGCACAGTCTGTAGTGATTTTGTATTATAATGCAAAAAACGGAATCAGTACATATACAGGTATGTACCCTAAAAAAGATGTAAAGCAGCAGCTAGAAAAAAGCCAAAATGAGCTTTGATTGAAGTATTCTATTTTTAATTTTCAGTGATGTATGGTCACACTCAATCTACTTGACCCTGTTCTTTAACTTGAAAAAAAAAACATTGTAGCTTTACATTCAAGAATCATCTATACAAAACTAAACCAACAAGATTAGATAAAGTTTGGCGTAAAATTTATGGGGTTGACCTTTTGAACAGCATTGTTTTATCCTTCACGCTACTCAATATTCATTGCTTTTCCATTAAATGTAAGTAATACAGTCATATTACCATCATATCCTATTAACGATTGCATAAGAGTTCAAAAAGTCATACTTACCTCAACAGTCCTTTCAGACACACTCTTGAATACACAACAGATTTGAACGTCCTTCCAGCACGATTGGTGCCAATAAAATGAATTCTCAGATCTTAGACAAACCGACAAACCCTATCCCCGGGCGCACGCGCTTTATTGACTGGAATTAAAAATGATCGGGAGACCGATCTGACGTCAGACGTACGCCATTCAGCTAGTTCGGGTATTGTGGAGGACTCAGCACTGGTTTGCGTATTGAAGAGTATTCTTCATGGGAGATTGATCCACCAGTGTTTAGTTAATTCGAGTATTTTGGGAGACTCAGTGCTGGTTTCTTGTGAATCGTATGGTAGAAGAGTATTCTGCATGGAAGACCGATCTAGCAGTGTTTAGTAAATTCAAGTATTTTGGGAGACTCAGTGCTGGTTTCTTGTGAATCGTAGGGTAGAAGTGTATTTATTCTGCACGGAAGACCGATCTAGCAGGTTTAGTAAATTCAAGTATTTTGGGAGACTCAGTGCTGTTTTTTGTGAATCCGAAGGTATTTTGATGGACGATTGTATCATATGGCTTTTGGTTGGCGTGACTATATGGTTAAGTCTGAGCTATTAGAGAAAATCGTTGATATACGATTTTATTTCAAGATTAGGAATATTCTCATAGATAGATGGTACCAAACATGAATGGTGATTTCCTTATCCAAAGATAACGTCACATGATTGTAAGGCTCAGTATAGTGATTAGGTAATTCAAGTATTTTAGGATACTCAATGCTGTTTTTTGCGAACCGGAGGGCAGGGAAGTATTTCAACTGCTAATATCACAGATTTGGAAATTACGCGTCTAAAGCTTATCATCATTAGGATGTCGTCGATACGACATAGGCTATTGGAAAAGCAAAGTGCTCGATCTGAAAGTTCATACAACCTCCTGGACATGTAATAGAAAAAAGTATTCTTGATTGTGTGGGCTGCTCGATGATCTGATAATTTTTGCATAGGTAAGTTATAATTTACGAAACGTTGGGCATCCTTCTGTCGTATGCTAGCAACGTTTTGTATAGTCTTAATCGAGCAAATAGTGTACTCAAAGTTGCTGGAAAGAATTTTGGTTATATCCATTGGAGATCCTTGAAAAATAATATAATAATACAAGTCCAAGTTAGGAGACTTCAGTAGTATTATGTAAAGAGAAATAAATGAAACTTGGCACCACTGCACGGATGACTTATCTACTGGTGTTTAGTTAATTTGAGTATTCTGGGGGACCGAATGCCGTTTTGTGATCTGAAGGGTATTCCGGTAGAGGACACATCTTACGGTTTTAAAAGGTAGACCTATATAGCGGACTTTATATGAAAATCCGAAATGTTAATGTACAGTTTTTTGAGCTGATCCTGGATCAGTTTGCCTTTTTGTTGGATATACACGAATCAAATTTGATATATATTCGATATTTCTGGTAGGTGACTTATTGCTGGGAATTGAAAGGATTACCGATCCACATGGAGATGTAAATATATATATATATATATATATATATATATATATAATATATATATATATATCGTTACCCTAATTGTAATACCACGTAACAAAGTTATAGCCCTTTGGAAGTTTGAGTACAGCCCTGCCTATTATATGCTCGTGTTTGGCGACAACGGATATAATCCGCCTGACCGGTTCATCGCATCGGAAACAAAAAAGCGAAAGAATTTGAAACGTTTATCACTATGTTTTTCGTCAGTCGATAAATCCTGAGTGAATAGTAAGTGTGTTGCGTGACTCAAACGAAATCAAAAATGGCACATGTTTACGAAAATGCTGAACTTGTGGACATGATTCTTATTTACGGGGGGGCAGTCTTTACAAAATGCTCCCGGATGCATCACGGATTTATGCGAATCGGTTTCCCAATCGAGTGCAACCAACCCCTCGTGCCTTTGTTATGTAGTGCAAAGGGCTCGTGAATCAGGTGACTTAAGACCTCACAGGTGAGGGCATGCTGCTCCAAGACCGCACGATCAAATACAGGTCCGCACTGAAATACTTGTCGGGAGGATACTTTATTAAACAAGGTAACATTTTTTTTTATTTTTACACACATATTTCGGTTTATCTTCCTTCTACAATCATTATCTGAAAATTAATGACTCAACTTCAAAGTCACCCTGTATAGTTTTAAATTAAATACAACTGTTCGGAATTTATAGGAACCTCATCCAGCCGTTGGTATCTCATAGCTTTGTTCTATTATAGATGTCAAGCAGAAGCAAAACTGGTCAAGTACTACACAATAGCGAAACGCAATACAGAAGCTTAGGTCCAGCCTGCTCCTCGATGAAATGCTTGAAATACAAAAAGAGACACTGTAATACTATAACTCATGAGGAGCGATCGTCGATTTTTAAAAAAATTTGGACCGATATGTCTTGGAGCAAAAACAGATATATGTAGCAAGTTTGATGGAAAAGAGAGAAACCAGAAGGAAATATGTTTATATATATATATATAGTATATTGTCGTTTTGAATCTATCCGTACTTTGAAACCAAAGAGGCTGAAACGTCATTAAATTTTTCCATCTACTTTATTGAAAATGATCATGGGTATGAGAAGTGATCGGGAAGAAGTGTGGATATTTTTTCATTTGGCGACGACAGATTTCACATTGACCTCCACCTTGACCTTATTAATGTAATGTTCGGTGCCTCAGTCAGCGTATTTGGTTATTCGATTGCGACCTGATTTTGGACATTGACCACAAAGTTCGTTTGGCATTGGAATTAGCGCAGTACTGTTAAAATCCACCGTTGATGATGATCTGAAGCTAAAGACTATGCATAACATTTGATCTTAGTTTTCTGGTAACGGCCCTAGATTTTGCCCTGACGTTGAAAGTAATTTCAATGTCAAATGTTTTTTCCATTTTTTTTTTACTTCTATTTTCAAATATGATCTTAGGTACCTTTGATCAAAGGTGGCTTAGTTGCCACACAACAACTGCTAATACAGGGTGGCGCAGAGGAAACGCATGTTTTCTGACCGAATGGTATTTCGCACAGAATAGGGATATGACCTCGCCGCACCGCCAGCAGAGAACACATGCGATGCAGTTTCAGCCATGGCACCGTGGATGTCGGAGCATCGTGTGTTTGCCGTCGAGCAATTTTTTCGAAACGATGATTCTGTAGTAATCGTGCAACGTTTATTCCGTCGACAGTTCAATGTTGAACGCCACGGGCCAATTCCAGATCGAAACACAATACTCCGATGGATCCGTAATGAAGAGGAAGCCACCTGGCCTTCCCCGTACCGTGCGGACTCCAGGCAATATCGAAACAGTGAGAAGAGCGGTCCTTGATAGTCCCCAACGGTCCACTAGGCGCCAAGCTCCAACTCTGCGTATGTCCCGTCGGTCGTTACAACGCATTCTGCATGACGATTTACAATATCATCCGTACAAGATAATGATCGTGCAAGAGCTAACGGAAAGCGATTTTGCACAGCGTAGAGAATTTTGTGCGAGAATGCGGGCCATTTTTGCTGACGATCCTGACGTCGTCATAATGATGAGTGACGAAGCACACTTCCATTTAACAGGATATGTAAACAAGCAGAACTGTAGGTATTGGGCGGCCGAATATCCACGAGAGCTACACCAACGACCCTTGCATAGTCAAAAATTAACTGTGTGGTGCGGAATCAGTAAATTAGGTATCGTTGGTCCTTACTTTGTTGAAGAGGAAGAAAGAGCAGTAACAGTTACTTCAGCACGTTATGTTCACATGTTACAAAATTTTCTGTTACCCGAACTTCAACGGCAACAAGTAAACATGGGAGAGCTGTGGTTCCAACAAGACTGTGCCACAGCTCACACAGCGAGAGCATCAATGGAATGGATTCGACAGATGTTTCCTGAACATGTGATTTCCCGTTTCGGCGATGTCCCTTGGCCCTCACGCTCCCCAGATTTGTCCGCATGCGACTTCTTTTTGTGGGTTACCTTAAGGGTAAAGTGTACCCTCACAAGCCTCGTACGTTACAGGAACTGAAAATTGCTATCGTCAAGAAATTGCAAGAATACCACAAGAAATGATTTTACGTGTAATGCACAACTTTCAAGAGCGGTTGGAGATGTGCGAGCGCGAAGCAGGGCGACAGTTGAGTGACGTTAATTACCATCATTAGTTTAAAAGTGCACTATCATTACTTTATTTAGCTGTAACTGAAACAAAGTTATCTTGAAAATAAAAATGTTATGCTTAGGTGAAAATCGTGCGTTTCCTCTGCGCCACCCTGTACTTCTCAATATTTGAAGGCTAATATAACCGTGGTGTTGTTTGAATAATTTGCATATCAATAATCATAGTGAAACATTACTGTATCTGTGCACTTCTGTATATTCAATTATAATGTTGAATTTGACACTGACACAAGGTCCGTTTACCATGTTTTATCTCTGACCATGTTACACGAACGCGTCAGGTCTTATAAATATTATGGCGCCAGAAGAATAATTGACTTAACTAATTTAAAAAGAAATCCTAACTTATCTGGATTGTAGACTTCCTTCCTTCCATGCAAAGATACATATGCAGCCGAGATGATCCAAGTCCACAAAAGGTCAGGCTTTTTTGTCAAAACCAGTGGCCAGTAGTGGCAGTGACATAAGAAACTTCACAAAGCATGGGCTGCTTGCCTCGCACTCAAAATTCATGGTGCAGGTGCCTGTTTACCGCAGGTTCTTTTCTCAAGAAAAAACGGTCGATCTCAATAAAATCAGCTACAACCGGCAGCAAAACAGCTATAAAGCTGGATGGTGGTTTTCATCAATGCCTTCCAAGCTGAAGATGTTAAAATCCCATAAAAATGGAGGGAGTAGCACCAAACAATATTAAAACAAACTGCTAAAGGTAAGGTAGGTAAGAGAAAGGGTACTACTCCATAAACTGGTGATTGAGGCCCAATATCCCAAAATCTGGAAACCAAATGAATGACCGATACACCTTCTCAACCAAGGCTTCAGCAGGAAATGTGACCGACACACTTTCCGGTCTTCCGTCAGTGGACTGGTTGCCTATGGGCAAAAAACCAACTTTACGAGAAATCAACGATATTTTATTATAACATTTAGTATCCAAAAGATTTGAACACAGTACTGAGTCGCTAATAAAGAAAGATATAATGTGTGAAATTATACTTTCAGATTAGGTAGTGTCGAGATCAAAATAGATCAATAAATAACGAAATTTGACAAAAGAAAATCACTGAAAAGGGTTTGGCCTAGGAATCGGTGCTATATCATTAATAAAGAGAAATTGGAATTACTGATAAGTGATCAAAATGGTAGAAAAAAAGCTTACGTGATTTTGGCACGTTACAAGAACTTCCCTCCTGTTACTTTTGTCCCCCATATTCTTACAACAATGCGCTTCATACAATTCGTTCGAACAAGCCGTAGAAAAATGTACTATCTATATTGCCCAGTTACCGTTATCATGTAATATTTTAAATAACTGATAATAGTGACCTTGAACATATAGCATAAAGGTGAAATGAAAAATTAGAATGAGGAATAAAAGGGGCATTGGTGTTATCTTACCTTCAGCACCACCTAGAGTTGCCAAATAAAATACGTCCAGATAGTTTAATGGCTTATAGTTCTTCTGACCGAAAGATAAGTTGATAGAAGTCGCTAATGCGGATCGCATCGCAGAAACAATCGACGGCGACGCTCCCCCGGAAACATCCGTGCCAAGACCTACTTTAATGCCGAAGCTAAACAACCGCCTGACGTCGCACATGCCCGATTTCAAGCAGGTATTAGAGTCGGGACAGTGCGACACTGAACTACCTCTTTGACTTAAAAGACTGAGCTCTTCGTCTGTTAAGTAGATGCCGTGGGCCAGAACTGTCTAAAATATAAGGAGATAATGTTAAAAAGATTGATTTCTTCAGTAGTAATAAGTGTTCCACTTACAAAAATCAGCGGTATAAGTTGTAGCAGAATATTATCGATGCATGAAACTAATTTACCTTTGGCGTCAATAGTCCAGCTTTATCATAAACATTCGCATAAGGAAGACCGTACTTGGAATTTACCTGCTTGACTTCATCTGTATTTTCTGATATATGAGTCTGTAATAGAAAATGGCGTTCATTAGGTCAAAAAAACGATCAAAGAACTGTATGTCAGATATACAGTCGACCTGCTTGACACAAAGTTTGTTCAAAATACTGCCACGTTTTTACTTGATACAAAAAAGCAATCAATGTGCCAAATGATCCGAATGCCGCTACTGGAATTTCCGCTAACAGCTGACTAAATATACGTATCCCCTGAAATTCCTAGGCGGTCCCCGTATTGCCGGAAAATACCGTAACAATGATTATAATTTCAGTCAAACACCGTAACAACCACATTAACTTCGTTACTGCATTCGCCTATTTTAGTCAAACGCTGTAATCAATACAGTGTTGCCCCGACTAAGTAAATAATATGATAAGGAACTACTTTATCAATAATATTAAAAGAAAAATAATCAATCATGAATTGATCGAAAAGGAAAGAAGAATAGATTAAAATGTTGACTTTATTATAACATTATTGTGGAGATTAATCTTTAATGTATTAAATCAACAAGAGATATCCTGAAACTATCGAAAGGATTATAAAACAATAAGTACCCTTAAAAAACAAAATAGTTACATAGAATTATCTTATATTTTATGATATTTTAAACATTATTTGGTAGCGCATGTTAGACTTCTACGGCACCATGAATTACAAAGAAGTTTTTTTTTAAAGAAATACATCTATTGCATAACCACTGCTTTTTCGCAGAACAGAAAAGACTATGTGTGTACCCAAGCAAATGAACACAAAACTGGTACAATGAATGACTGAATCAGTAACGAAGTTAATGTGGTTGTTACGGTGTTTGACTAAAATTGTTCAGTCATTACAGGGAATGACTGAAATGCTTAGTCAAACGTTGTAATAATCAAACTGTTACGGTGTTTGCCGGCAATACGGGGACTGACTAGGCATTTCAGGAATGACGAATTTCAGCGTTTGACGCCGACATATATATATATATATATATATATATATATATATATATAGCTTCCGCCTTTTGTTGGGTACTTCGACAAGATTTAAGCAAAGAGGACTCTTTATACTTTTTTTAATTCTCTCTAGCTTTCAATGGACTTTGCCATCATCATCAGGAGAGTAGTATGTGAGGATGTTGCTAATTGTTGTTTACGTATAGGATGAGGGAAACGTCCAGTAACATGGTGAGAGCTGGATAGATTGTACAATAGTCAAACTTATATAAAATATGACAAGAACAAGTTAAAAACAGATTAAAATTATTTAAAAAATTTTTTAGAGCATTACATCGTGAAGCCACCTGATGATTGCACAAATTAGTGGTCATGGAATGAATAATTTGTGCAATCATCAGGTGGCTTCACGATGTAATGCTCTAAAAAATTTTTTAAATAATTTTTAATCTGTTTTTAACTTGTTCTTGTCATATTTTATATAAGTTTGACTATTGTACAATCTATCCAGCTCTCACCATGTTACTGGACGTTTCCCTCATCCTATACGTAAACAACAATTAGCAACATCCTCACATACTACTCTCCTGATGATGATGGCAAAGTCCATTGAAAGCTAGAGAGAATTAAAAAAAGTATAAAGAGTCCTCTTTGCTTAAATCTTGTCGAAGTACCCAACAAAAGGCGGAAGCTTTAATTTTTCACCTAACTGGTCTAGACGACAATGACCACGTCTCAAGTTATATATATATATATAAATATATATATATAAATATATATACAGGGTGACTTCGAAGTTGAGTCATTTATTTTAACAGTGAATAGATCTGATCAAAAGAAATGTTTTTTTCCTTTACCATTTTTCTGGTAAAATTAAAGTAACAAAGTTATAGCCCTTTGGAAGTTTGAGTACCGCCCTGTCTCAATATCATGTGCTCGTGTTTGGCAACAACGGATATAATCCGCCTTACCGGTTCATCGCATCGGAAACAAAAAAGCGAAAGAATTTGGAACGATGTTGTGTACAGTTTATTATTTTATTCAGTTCAGTTATACATACAGTCAGTGTCAGTGTCGCGTGTTAATATTGTCTGTTGCGTGGCTCAAACGAAATAAAAAATGGCACATGTTTATGCGGATCGGTTTCCCAATCGAGTGCAACCAACCCCTCGTGTCTTTGTTAATGTAGTACAACGGGCTCGTGAATCAGGTGACTTAAGACCTCACAGGGGACCTCACGATCAAATACAGGTCCGCACTGAAATACTTGTCGGGAGGATACTTTATAAAACAAGGTAAAAAAATTTTTTTAATTTTTTTTTTATTTTTACACACATATTTTGGTTTATCTTCCTTCTACAATCATTATCTGAAAATTAATGACTCAACTTCAAAGTCACCCTGTATATATATATATATACAGGGAAAACTGCATTTCTTAAATAACTATGATGTGTTGTAACAGGTTCACCCTGCTGGTGACGAGCCCTACTTCTTGCCCCGCGTGTCGTCACATGCTAGTAGCCTGCTGGATCTCTTTTTCGCCACGCATCATGTCCCTTACAGCACTGCTGTCCTGTTTCCCTTGGGTAACTCCGACCAGAGTGTTGTGGTGGTTACGTTTCGGTCAGAACCCGTTGTGACAGCAGAAACTCGCCCAGGCTGCAAAATGTGGCATTACGGACATGCCGACTGTTCATCGATAACAGAAATTTTCCACGTCGGGATTGAGGAATACATCCCTCATACAGTGAAAGTGCCTAAACCATGGATTTAAAGGGTTCCCTACAATATGCGGGAAGTAACATTCAGGCATAAGACCGTAAGGCGGGTGCCCTTGTCGCTCGATTTCAATAAAGCTTCTGGTCCGAACTTGATTTCTGCCATTGCATTGAAGAGGTGTGAAGCGGAACTCGCTCCAGTTCTTCCGTGTCTATTCCAGATATCTTACGACTCCGGCACCTTCCCAGATAACTCGAAATTTGCTCATGTCCAACTCATCCCAAAAATATAAGACCGACCCTTACAACTACAGACCTATAGCTCTGCTTTGTGTTATAAGTAAGGTGATGGAGAGGTGCATAAATCGCGAGCTTCTGGACTACCTCGAACGTCACGGCTGCTGGTGTCCATTTTGCTTTTTCTATTGTATTTTTCTTGTTTAGAGTAACACAGTGCCTTAGGCCATTATTAATTCATGTTGGTGTCTGCAACTATGTTTATTGCTTAAGATCTATGCATTTGCCTCGTTCAGTCCATATTATCGTGCTTGAGAGGTGCATTTTTTTGTAACATGTGTATTTTTCCTACTGCCTGCTTTGGGGTTAGGTCCAAATAGTTACAATTGTAAATAATAAGAAAGAATTTTAAACACATGTAGTTTGATTAGCCAGACAAACATGGGAGAATGGAATACAAACTTTCACCCCTGCATTAGTTTGAAAACATTGCTCTAGCTCCGAAATTATATTTATTCAAGTCACAGCGGTTTACATAGTCTATGGCTAGTTCCGTTCCAAGAACGAGAAACCGTCAGAGGGTTAGGGCTGACGCGACGAAGATCACTTTTTTACACCTTGAAACGTATTTGGGGGGCCACTCCAGTTTTAACATTTGAAATGAAAGAGTATGCGAGAAGGGGTACAATGGCGGCCCAGACGTCAGGGATTCTGAGAGGAAAGATTATAACTAAAAAAATCACATCAAATAATCATAAGAGTATTTTAAATTGTAGCGACAAATCCACGTACAGATCTCTGCAGCTTTTGTTTTCACTCTAAGAGCGCAGGCACTTTATTTGAACGCTACAGGTAACGTGTAGAGGAAAGTTGGGACATTTGAGTTGTTTTTCATGAACACCAAGTGAGGCTGAAACTGGTTACTAACGGTTCAAATTTCGTTGAAGTGTCGTTCAGAAGTTATTAAAGAAAAGGTGATTTCCAGCCTGGATCTCCATAGGGGACCTATGTAGGACATTCTTATAGGAAGTGGAGACACTATTTTTTTGTTCTGGTACGGTATGGTATGTACACGAGAGATTGACATGTTATTCTGGTACTTGATTGGTGAAGATTTTTTCTTATCAATTCTCAGAATAGTTAAAAAAACAAAAGAGGTCCATACTAAGCAGTTTCAAATGTTGATGCGATAATATTTCTATCACTGGAGCATTCCTTATTACCTGAACATTGACGTTGTACTCCTTGACTAACTGTCCCAGTTCAATCATTGAATCCATTTCTAAGCTTAGTGCAAATCTTGGCGTAACGATTGGTTCCACTAGTTCGCACTACAACAAATAGAAGAACATTGAAAATAAAACTTGTATTTTCAGCACCTACCCGAGAAATTGCCATGATTATCTGCAATGCTCCATTGAGGAGAAGCTTTTTTCTCCCTGTACGCCTAGGTAAATAATTAATGACATTTAAAAGCTAAAATCGTTAGCAAATTACTTGAGTTTGTCAGTCTGACATCAGGCAACTAGATATTTATTTGTGAAACGTATATAAAACGTCAACACCGCTGCTTTACGTTTAGGTTGTTGTGAATATAGCGCTAACAAGTAAGGCTATATCTAAGAAGATCGAGTATAGCCATAAAAAAGTGTAAGTAGTGAAGAAATTCTACACATACATCGCATGAGAAAGCAATAAATTATTGATCTCGCAAATTATACACTTCGCCGATATACGCGTCAGTGCGCGACCAATAATAAATCACTTTCGCAACCTAGGTATGTAATGGACTATTTTTCAATGGATAAGCAAAAATACTCACATCTTAGACCGAACAGATTCAATAAATTTTCTTGTTAGCTTGATGGTCTCCTCAGGCGTCTCTACATAGTCATCTGGCGCCAAAGTTGTCATGTTGATTTTGCCGATAAACGCTCTTTGTCCGTATTTAAGCACAGCGTCGACTAGAATCAGGCTGGCATCTTGAAATAGAGAGGCGAAATAACATGCCGTGGTCGTACCATGATTCAAAGTACGCCTCTGCAAAAAAAATGATAGAGAGTGCAGGGGTGCATGCTGGCCAGTTTCCTTTTCTGATTGGAATGATATAAAATATTTCGGTTCTTAATTTGAACTGAGTAGCAATTATTTTATAAAAAATATGTAACTTCATCCTGCATACATACATATACTAAGTGACATATAAATCCGAACACCAGTTTAAATGGTTTTATTTTAATAAAATTTTGTATAAGTACTTAATGAAGCATAATAAGTAAATGATAAAATTTCAAAATGATTGCACTGCTTTAAAGCCCTTTGACCTTTAATAATGTGTGGATGCACCCTGATGTGCTACGCATTCTCCAACGCGCCTAGGCATGCTTCTGATCAGGGGGTCAATGTCCTCCTGTGGTATCTCATTCCAGGCAACCACCAACTCCTCTCGAAGTGCTTCTAGAGTCTGAGGAGGACGTTGCAAATTGAGCAATCTCCTACCCATCATATCCCACACGTGCTCAATTGGGGATAAGTCGGGAGATCTTGGTGGCCATGGTAACAATGTGACATCATTATGTTGAAAGAAGTCTATTGTGACCCTTGCAACATGTGGTCGGGCATTATCTTGTTGGAAAGTTGGATCTACCAGGGTGTCAACATAGGGTAAAAGATGGGGTTCTAGAACTTCGTGGATATAACGCTGCGCGTTCATGTTACCTCTGATGAAGATTAAAGGTGACCTAGAACCATAAGCTATAGCACCCCAAACCATAACTCCAACAGTGTGATGAACATGTCTTTCAACAAAAAACTGTGGATTCCTCCTTTCACCACGTCGCCTTCTAACCCTGGCACGACCATCGTGCATGCCTAAACAAAATCGAGACTCGTCACTAAAGACAATACTGTTCCATTCCTGATCCCAGAGTGACCGTTGTCTGCACCACACAAGGCGATTACGTCGGTGTTCTCGAGTTAAAGGGAGGACCCAGTGTGGTCGGTATGAAAACAAGCCAAAACTTCTCATTCGTCGCTAAACACTTCGCATGCCAATAGGTCTTCCGTGTTCTGCAAACCATTCATTTGCAATGGACCTGGTAGTGGAGAAACGGTCCCTTAAGGCCAATAATCTTAGGCGGCGATCTTCACGGTCTGTTGTTCTACGGCGGCGTTCAGTGCCCCTTGCTCTTTGCGTACGGCCTTCTCGAAGCCATGCCTGACAACACCTAACCACAGTGTCTACACTTCTTTGCACTCTAACTGCAATTGCCCGAAAAGAAAGTCCAGCTTCCCGAAGTCCCACTATACGGCCCCGATCAAACTCACTAAGTTGACGAAATCGTACAGGTCTCCGTACTCTAGGCATCGTAACCGATCGTAAAGGATGTCAAGAATCAAAATCCGCCAACGTTCATTGTTTACTGCGGCTGAAATATTCATTTTTAGAGCGTTAGTGAATTAAAAAAAAGCAGTCTAAAAACCGGAATGTCCAACTGATAAGGCTGAAAATTTTTCACTTGTTATTTACAGTATATATAATATAATAAAACCATTTAAACTGGGTGTTCGGATTTATATGTCACTTAGTATATATACGTTTATTTATAAACAAAATAATTCACTTAAACTGGCAAAACACTTTTACCTAAACTAATTAAATAAATAATATAGACATGCTTGTCTGGACAACCACAATTTTTTTTATTGATCAAACTTGCATGTAGGACCACAGGTTAAGTTTCAGATGTTACGTTAGTTGAGCAAATTTAATAAATTCAATTAAACGATTGCGTTTTGGTGTCAATTTCATAGATTCAAGTAAACTGCTTTAGAAATCGGAGCTTAATTAGTTAAATTAGACTTGTTAGCTGTCACATGATTAATTACTTTTTTAACTGGCCTAATTAATATTTTAATTGGTTTAATTATATCTTCAAAGTAACTATGAAAATATTAATTTTATGAAATAACTAAGGCTTGACAATATCAATGTATGGTCACATAATACATTTTTTAAATCAGAATTGAAAACATTGTTCACCCCAAGTTGATGATTGCGGACAACACATGAAACGACATATTGAAATTCTGATTATGCCATCTTATAGAGGAGACAAATTGTATCTTTAATTTTAAAATTGCATCTCAAAGATAGCCAGGAAAAATAAAACCCATTTTTGGAAAATTCTTTCTTCTCGGAATTGCGAAACTTTCTAATCACCAGTTTCTTAGTTACTTAAATACGCAACTTTACCCTACATTCAACCGACTTTGTTATCTTTCACCGTTTCTGAGATCCCAATGGTGAGAGGCGAATTTGAAATATCCTTTATTATGTTCAGCAGTTAAATTATATATAATAAAGACAATTTTATACCCTAGGGCATGAAGAAGTCTGCGATGGAGAAGTTAGTCGTAAATGATATGTTTTTACGAATGGACTCATTTATAATATTCCCAAACTGCAGATGGAATGAATCTACTCATTACAACACACCATAATATTAAAATATTCTTACCACCACTGCATTGAAAACTTTTCTTGAGTACTCCAAATCCCTATATTTCCTTTCTAGCTTATAGGTGTAAGCCTGTAACCATTCTAATAAAGGCTTATCGTAGCCTAATCCGCAATTTGGATACTGTGGAGCATGTATATGTGTATCTACGAAACCTGGAATTAACAGTTGACGATCTGATAGAACAGTTACCATGACATCTTGCTCATCTGCTAAGTGTTGTGCTCTAGCTTGTTCGAGGTCTTCTTTCCTTCCTATTGCCATAATCTGGAAGGATTAGAAAAATATAGGCAAACATTCACATCTAAATAACCTGAGAATGCCAGAATTTGGAAATAGAATTGGAACGCTATCATCAGTTCATGATTATGTTCGGGGAAAGGAAGCTCCTCTCAGAAAAGGGTTGGCTACGAATTTGGATAACAAAGGAGTTAAATGGATCGAGTCAGTCAAACGGGCCCAAACAATTAGTCCATAGCACCCACACATTTGACAACATTGTGCTTTAGACATTTATCCCGTACCCCAATGTTACCAGGTCTAGTGAAATTTCACTAGATCTAGTGATTTTTGAACAACTTTAGTGACTTAGTGAAAACTTTTGTTAAATGTCATATTTCTACTAATTTTTCTAAAGGTTTGTGGCAAACAAAAAAAAAATGAAAAATACAATGAAAAAATATAGAAATGCATCCAAAAGTTGGTAAGAAGCATATACAATTATATGCATCGCAGTTTTAAAAGATTTTCGGAATTTGAAGAATTTCAAACATTTTTTAACATCAAACCCCACAAATTATTGCATTCATCACAAACCAGGTCACTGATTTCCGCTGTAAGTAGAATTATTGAGCAATATGAAATCCATGACATACTAGTAATAAATTAAATAAACTATATCATCTTTTTTGTAATTTATATTACCGCCTTTTACGGATATGAATTTGGAATTCCAGTCTGACACCCCCAAGGTACATAACCTTCACCCCCGGATTAATGACGCGTGTAAATTTTTATTAAGCTGTTTCATAAAATCAAAATATTTAAGAAATACAGATATAGTTAATGTTCAATATCGAAATCCAAAACATTTTCTTCCAATGGTAAAAAGTTACTTTTGTCCAAAAGTATTGGAAGAAATGAATAATCCTTTTTTCACCGAAAATATCAAACATAATCTCAGATTGAAATGTCTGGATTTTTATACTGAAGCGGTAAGCCAAATATGGAAACGATTCCCCTTTAATTCCCGAGAAGTACAGATTCTCAAACTAATAACTTTTCTGCACCCATCAAATATATCATCAACTGAAAGCATAGGTGCTCTGGCTGATAGGTTTCCATATAGTTAGAGACATTAACAATTTAGATGAAGAATTTATGCAGTTGAAGTTTTCTGAATGTGATTTTTCGCTTGGTGAAATTCAATTCTGGAAAAACATAAACAATATCAAAAAAAGGCATGATAGTCTCGCATACCCAGAGCTTGCCAATTTTTTTAAAATTTTATTTACATTGCCACACAGTAGCGCAAGTGTGGAAAGATAAAAGCTGCTTTAATTTTCCAATTTCAAACGACATTATAAAATAACAATAATAATATGTAGTCGTAAGAATGTCATTCTTTTTAAATTTGTTTATTTTGATGTAGTTTTAAATAAGTTATACCTATTTAATTTCGTTTTTATAGTTACGTTTCTAAGCTTTGAAATATATTTGGTGTTTTGTTACTTTTGTCCGATGGATGTATTTGTGGCTTCTTTTAAGAGTCTGTTCAAATTTACGTTTTGTTGTTTGTTTTAAGAGTGTTTTGAAAATCTTTTTACATAATAATATGTACTCGAAAGAAAGTCATTCTTTTTTAAATTCGTTTATTTTAATGTAGTTTTAACGAAGTCATATTTAATTTCATGTTATTCAGTGTAACAGTAGAAAACATTTGAGTATAGGGACCCATATCCGGAAAAGTATCACTACGGCACTACGACCCTAAGACGCGTTAAAATTTAGAGGATGAATTACCTAAATAGGATTTAATGCATTTAATTTTTGCCTTTTGTACATGATATCATCACAACAATTGTTCAAAATGTCTTCCTCCAACCTGAATACACCGTTCCTGTGGGGACATGTAAAGTCTTAGGTTTACGAAACAGGGCAAGACTTAATTGGACGAATTACAGCAGCATTTGAAATCATTCAAAACGAGTATCAAATTTTTAGTCAAGTCCGCCGGAATCATGTGCGACGTTTAAATCGGTGTATGGGACCTCGGGTGGCCGCGTGGGTCAGAGTGTCGTGCTACTGATCAGCCGGCCGGCCGGGCCGGGAGTTCGAATCTCGCCTTCGCCATGGATGTTGTGACGTCGTGTGTTTGTCCATAATTAGAGATATACATATACAAGATTGGATGTGGCTAATGGGTCGCAATGTCCTAGTGCCAAAAAAAAAGTCGGTGTATTCAGGTTGGAGGAAGACATTTTGAACAATTGTTGTGATCATATCATGTACAAAAAGTAAAAATTAAATGCATTAAATCCTACTTAGGCAATTCATCGTCTTTCTAAATTTTAAGGCGCCTTAGGGTCGTAGTGCTGTAGTGACACTTTTCCGGATATGGGTCCCTATACTCAAATGTTTTCTACTGTTACACTGAATAACCCCTACAAGTTTGATCCCATAGTTCTGAAACACCCTGTATATTGGGTCAACCATCGAAACACGCACATCTTTCACGACTATCCATTACGCTGGAATAACAGCCGTTTATCTAAATCCCCATATTTATCGACAAATGACTCACAATTCTGACCGAAAGGTCAACCCAGCACGGCACGGGTATCATTTAAAAAACCTATAAAACGTCAAAAAAAAACCTATAAGATGTCAACTTGCAGACTAGGTAGTTTTTAGGGGGCAAACAGTCATTCCATGTTTGCTCACTATGATCGTTGTCAACGTCCATCTATGGAGGAATCACTCAACTAAACTACGCATTATTGGTTGCATAGTTTTCTGAGGATGAGCGATCCGGGTCTGTAGTTTTTATCTCTGAGAAGAAAGTTGGTTGAATAGCAAGCTCTCATCTGGATGATTATGTGTATTGGTCTGCATGTGTATAAAATCAGTGATATTTGCTGTGTGAGAAAATCATTACTGAATATGCCGAATATGACGGGTTATTTATATGTTGTGCTTTCTGAAGAGAGGTTATGTTCAAAGTTATAAATTACGAAAAACTGAGGAGAATTACGGGAAATCATCACCGCGCCCGCGTTGTGTGTTTACTGATAGCATGTATATGGCTTGTAATTCGACAGTACAGTGAATATAATTATTTCTTATCTCTCCCATTTTTGAAATTCAGCAAATTTGTATACCTATGTAATTTCCAGAATGGATAAGAAAAAGTGGATGCGCAACTAATTTCTAGCTTTGAATCTCAATTAAGTGTATTTGAGACAACAACCCAATGTAATTATCATCAACACATACAACTTACAGCTTAGACATCCAGTAATGCCATCTCAGAAGCAGATTTTACATCACATCAGAGCCAAAGATTGATGACAAGCCTCATGACGTTTAGGCCACACGTACAACTAAGTGCTATGTTAACATCTTGTAGAATAACCTACATAATGTCAAAAAACAGCATAATGTCAAAAAAAATCGGCATAATGTCACTTTTCAAGATACGTGATACCCGTGCCGGTATCATGTAAAAAACCTATAAAACGTCAAAAAAAAACCTATAAGATGTCAACTTGCAGATTAGGTAGTTTTTAGGGCGCAAACAGTTATTCCACGTTTGCTCACTAGGATCGTTGTGAACGTCCATCTGTGGAGGAATCACTCAACTAAATTACGCATTATTGTTTGCATAGTTTTGTGAGGCTGAGTGATCCGGGTCTGTAGTTTTTATCTCTGAGAAGAAAGTTGGTTGAATAGCAAGATCGCATCTGGATGATTATGTGTATTGCTGTATTGGTCTGCATGCGTATAAAATCAGTGATATTTGCTGTGTGAGAAAATCATTACTGAATATGACGGGTTATTTATATGTTGTGCTTTCTGAAGAGAGGTTATGTTCAAAGTTATAAATTACGAAAAACTGAGGAGAATTACGGGAAATCATCACCGTGCCCGTGTTGTGTGTAATTACTGTTAGCATGTATAGTATATGGCTTGTAATTCGACAGTGTACAGTGAATATAATTATTTCTTATCTCTCTCATTTTTGAAATTCAGCAAATTTGTATACCTATGTAATTTCCAGAATGGATAAGAAAAAGTGGATGCGCAACTAATTTCTAGCTTTGAATCTCAATTAAGTGTATTTGAGACAAGAACCCAATGTAATTATCATCAACACACACAACTTACAGCTTAAACCTCCAGTAATACCATCTCAGAAGCAGATTTTACATCACATCAAAGCCAAAGATTGATAACAAACCTCATAACGTTTAGGCAACACGTACAACTAAGTGCTAAGTTATCATATTGTAGAATAACCTACATAATGTCAAAAAAAATCGGCATAATGTCACTTTTCAAGATACGTGATACCTGTGCGGGTTTTTGTACGCTGCAGATTCATTTGGGCCTGCTCACAACTCTTTTGTTTAGACAAGTTCCTTCACAAACAAATAATTACTGCAACTGATCATGACTTCATTTCAAGTTAGGTAGGAATAAAATAAGATAAACAGTGTTTGTCTGTGTTAATCATCTCTACTTTTTAGAACTTGAAACATCATATGATTTTAAATGGCAATAAAACACTCATATTCGAATTACGTTACATTGATGTGGACAATTGACCAGAAACACGTTTCTATATTAAGAGCAGTGCAGTCTGTTCAATTGACTTACCTCGTGAGCAACAAATCCCTATAATAATTTTCTAATAAGCATTTTTCTATGTGTAATCCGTGTATTCTATTGTCAAAATTCCTTGTCATTAAAAGTGTCGAGATATTGTGAACAACAGCTCTAAATACGGTTCTGAGTTTTACCGGATCTATACCCAATTCACTACTACCAACGTTACAGACTAATTCAAAGATGTCACTTGCGGATCAGCTGTTCATCTCAGTAGAAGTCAAAACGTAATGGATTCTAGTGATAGTGAAATAGGCTGTACACAAGTACACATGCCCACGTACCTTACTTCGTTTTACGATCACAAAACCACCTTGTTCATTGGATATTCTATACAATTGCTTTTTGGCTGGATCATTTTGGCAGTGAAATATGTTTCCCAAAAAAATCTTCGATTGTCCAGATGACATTTTTGCGACGCTTGAAGGTATTAAGCCGAAACAGTGCATCTGCATCCAACTCCGAGTATAACTATAACCTGACTTTTTACCATTTAACGTTTTCATCGCCGCTTCGCTAGAAGGCAGCTAGTCGTTTATGACAGTGGCGCAGGCTTTGAATGAGTGAGTAGGCAATGACTCAAAAGTTAAAGAAAGTTTCTGCTGGTTCCAGTATCCACTGACAAGACAAAACTGAAATAGTGACATAGTCTCTAGTCGTTGATAGTGATTTACATAGCATACGGTGTATCATAGAAGTTTTTAAGTCTCCAATTCCAAGGATGATGTTCTAACGGGAAAGTATAAAAAAATCCCCACACACTAAAATATATCAGCTTATAAAAAGTTACTTTGGATTCTGGTTTAAATAATACGAAAGTCATAATAGGTAAACCGAGGAAAGATGGCCATATTTTTTTTTAATCGTCTGTAATACTTTTAATAATTGGGTTTTAACAAAAATATAATATTTTAGGGTAGGGCATGCTAATTATTATTTGTTGCTCTGTGCAAATTCATTATAAATATGGTTTTTTATTTTGTTTGAAGAAATGAATAATCCCTTTTTCACCGAAAATATCAAACATAATCTCAGATTGAAATGTCTGGATTTTTATACTGAAGCGGTAAGCCAAATATGGAAACGATTCCCCTTTAATTCCCGAGAAGTACAGATTCTCAAACTAATAACTTTTCTGCACCCATCAAATATATCATCAACTGAAAGCATAGGTGCTCTGGCTAATAGGTTTCCATATATAGTTAGAGACATTAACAATTTAGATGAAGAATTTATGCAGTTGAAGTTTTCTGAATGTGATTTTTCGCTTGGTGAAATTCAATTCTGGAAAAACATAATCAATATCAAAAAAAGGCATGATAGTCTCGCATACCCAGAGCTTGCCAATTTTGTTAAAATTTTATTTACATTGCCACACAGTAGCGCAAGTGTGGAAAGATAAAAGCTGCTTTAATTTTCCAATTTCAAACGACATTATAAAAAAACAATAATAATATGTAGTCGTAAGAATGTCATTCTTTTTAAATTTGTTTATTTTGATGTAGTTTTAAATAAGTTATACCTATTTAATTTCGTTTTTATAGTTACGTTTCTAAGCTTTGAAATATATTTGGTGTTTTGTTACTTTTGTCCGATGGTTTTCTAATAAGCATTTTTCTATGTGTAATCCGTGTATTCTATTGTCAAAATTCCTTGTCATTAAAAGTGTCGAGATATTGTGAACAACAGCTCTAAATACGGTTCTGAGTTTTACCAGATCTATACCCAATTCACTACTACCAACGTTACAGACTAATTCAAAGATGTCACTTGCTGATCAGCTGTTCATCTCAGTAGAAGTCAAAACGTAATGGATTCTAGTGATAGTGAAATAGGCTGTACACAAGTACACATGCCCACGTACCTTACTTCGTTTTACGATCACAAAACCACCTTGTTCATTGGATATTCTATACAATTGCTTTTTGGCTGGATCATTTTGGCAGTGAAATATGTTTCCCAAAAAAATCTTCGATTGTCCAGATGACATTTTTGCGACGCTTGAAGGTATTAAGCCGAAACAGTGCATCTGCATCCAACTACGAGTATAACTATAACCTGACTTTTTACCATTATTTAACGTTTTCATCGCCGCTTCGCTAGAAGGCAGCTAGTCGTTTATGACAGTGGCGCAGGCTTTGAATTTTGAATGAGCGAGTAGGCAATGACTCAAAAGTTAAAGAAAGTTTCTGCTGGTTCCAGTATCCACTGACAAGACAAAACTGAAATAGTGACATAGTCTCTAGTCGTTGATAGTGATTTACATAGCATACGGTGTATCATAGAAGTTTTTAAGTCTCCAATTCCAAGGATGATGTTCTAACGGGAAAGTATAAAAAAATCCCCACACACTAAAATATATCAGCTTATAAAAAGTTACTTTGGATTCTGGTTTAAATAATACGAAAGTCATAATAGGTAAACCGAGGAAAGATGCCCATATTTTTTTTTTAATCGCCTGTAATACTTTTAATAATTGGGTTTTAACAAAAAATATAATATTTTAGGGTAGGGCATGCTAATTATTATTTGTTGCTCTGTGCAAATTCATTATAAATATGGTTTTTTATTTTGTTGATAAATATCGGTATTTTTTATATGTGGGCCATCTCTCCTATAGTGTTTAGTAGAGATGGCCATATCGTAGAAGGTAAGATGGCCATATAAAATTCAAAGAAAATAATGAGTTTTATAAGAATACTCGTGCAATACCTATGAGACTTTATTACTACATATAACAGAAAAAAAACTAAAAACTCAATAGCCAATCCTTTTGCCAAAAAAGTAACTTACATTAAAAAACTAACTAACTTAAATGTTTGCCTTTTATAATAGCGACAGGAGGAAGAAAAGTGCCGTCGGCGTTACAGCAGGCAACAACTGTTACAGTCTCGGCCTTTTCTGCTCAAGCAACTGACGAAACTACTTTTGATCCTTTTACTGTCAAAACTTCCACCGGTCTTGAATTTAGTTGCAATCCACCCTCGTCCATATTAAAAATATTTTTCGGGTTTATCAAGATATTGTTTTCTTCCAGAACACTCGGCAGTACTTTAAAGTTATCAACTACTACCTTTCTAGACATTGCTGTGCACCTCGCCCACGACAAACTTTCTGCTTTTCTAACTGATATTTGTGGATCTCTGGTGAGAAATGAATGCAGCCAAACTTAACCAGCTTTCTGAAGCCGATTATTAAATTTATGTTTTAAGCCCAGCTGAACAGCAAATTTATAAGCTATGGTTGGCAAATCATCTCTAGTAAGTGGAGATCCACTTTTTGCATTTCTTTAATATGCCGAACCAGTCTGTTTTTCCAGCCTGACGTACAGATAATCCCTCATCTTTAACAGTACTCATTGTAGATTTCAGTTGCTCCTCGGTCCATTTGGCCCTCTCCAATGATTTTCTTTTATAAATATTTGGCATCTAAAATAAATACAAATGATCTACGATGGCCATCATACATAGGAAATAAGTGGGCCATCTCTCCTTTTCTTCGAGGAAAGATGGCCATAGCATGATTTAGATTTTATATACGTTAATTCGCGTAAAACGCTTAGGCAACATAAAACACACCACACATGGTAAAATAAACACCACTTTACAACACAATCCTTACGATTTATACATAGTATATACGAGTATTGTGACAAATCTAAGTCTAAGCAATATATTAGTTATACAGATTGCACTTAAAAAGTGATTTATGTTCTGTTTGGTGCTCAATAGTAATTTGAAAGGTGCGTAAAGCTTGACTGACTTTGTTCGGGGTTGGTGTTGCTGCGAAGCACTATTAGTCTAATCATATTAGACGAAAGTACCCCTGGTTTGCGAAATAATTCTAAAGTCTGGTTTTATTGCTGCAAGCTGCTCAAGGGGGTATTCAAAACGGACGCATAAAATGGGTACACCAATTTTTGTGGGAAAACTTTTTATTCGACAACAAAGAATGAGAAAATGTGTTTTTCGGTATTCAATCTAAATAATGGGGAGGGGCGAAAAAACCCTCTTTAAAAGATTTTTAAGTATTTATGAGACCTAGAAAATGAGACCGCACGTAAAACGATCCGACTAAGAGCAAAAAAGTTATCCCCGAAAACCGAGGAAAACTGCAGGTCTTGGCACGTGTTGGTAATGCGAAGACAGTTGCTCGGAGATATTTGAAATTCTTCAACTTCGTAGGATTGGTACTTCTAAATAACCACATCAAAATTGAAGTAGATTGGTCAAGTAGTTTGTGAGAATTTCTAATTGCTTATCCCAAGACATCTAATTTCCGGCTATCACTACTAGTTTTTTTTGAGCAATATACATGGGTTAGTTCAAAGGGCATTTTATAGCATAATATACTAGTTTACCTTGCCGATATGAATCGAAAACTATTCCGGAAAATAAATGTTATTTTTATGCAAAAAAAGGATGGGTTACGTTTTTATTCTAAACAAATTCAATACATTTCGTATTTATGAGTAACTCGCAACAAAAGATGATAGACACATCCGCTTTGTTTTAAAACATGCTTAGTAACGTAAGTATTTCGAATATCGTAGCGCATTTGCTCAATTACTCAGAAATACGAAATGTTTGAATTTGCTTTGAAGAGAAAAACGTAACCTTTTTTGTCGCATAAAAATAACATTTATCTTTCGGAATGGTTTGTAATCCATATCGGCAAGGTAAATTAGTGTTAACTAAGTGACATATAAATCCGAACACCCAGTTTAAATGGTTTTGTTTTAATAAAATTTTGTATAAGTACTTAATGAAGCATAATAAGTAAATGATAAAAATTTCAAAATGATTGCACTGCTTTAAAGCCCTTTGACCTTTAATAATGTGTGGATGCACCCTGATGTGCTACGCATTCTCCAACGCGCCTAGGCATGCTTCTGATCAGGTGGTCAATGTCCTCCTGTGGTATCTCATTCCAGGCAACCACCAACTCCTCTCGAAGTGCTTCTAGAGTCTGAGGAGGACGTTGCAAATTGAGCAATCTCCTACCCATCATATCCCACACGTGCTCAATTGGGGATAAGTCGGGAGATCTTGGTGGCCATGGTAACAATGTGACATCATTATGTTGAAAGAAGTCTATTCTGACTCTTGCAACATGTGGTCGGGCATTATCTTGTTGGAAAGTTGGATCTGCCAGGGTGTCAAGATAGGGTAAAAGATGGGGTTCTAGAACTTCGTGGATATAACGCTGCGCGTTCATGTTATCTCTGATGAAGATTAAAGGTGACCTGGAACCATAAGCTATAGCACCCCAAACCATAACTCCAACAGTGTGATGAACATGTCCTTCAACAAAAAACTGTGGATTCCTCCTTTCACCTCGACGCCTTCTAACCCTGGAACGACCATCGTGCATGCCTAAACAAAATCTAGACTCGTCACTAAAGACAATACTGTTCCATTCCTGATCCCAGAGTGACCGTTGTCTGCACCACTCAAGGCGATTACGTCGGTGTTCTCGAGTTAAAGGGAGGACCCAGTGTGGCCGGTATGAAAACAAGCCAAAACTTCTCATTCGTCGGTAAACACTTCGCATGCCAATAGGTCTTCCGTGTTCTGCAAACCATTCATTTGCAATGGACCTGGTAGTGGAGAAACGGTCCTTTAAGGCCAATAATCTTAGGCGGCGATCTTCACGGTCTGTTGTTCTACAGCGGCGTCCAGTGCCCCTTGCTCTTTGCGTACGGCCTTCTCGAAGCCATGCCTGACAACACCTAACCATAGTGTCTACACTTCTTTGCACTCTAACTGCAATTGCCCGAAAAGAAAGTCCCGCTTCCCGAAGTTCCACTATACGGCCCCTATCAAACTCACTAAGTTGACGAAATCGTACAGGTCTCCGTACTCTAGGCATCGTAACCGATCGTAAAGGATGTCAAGAATCAAAATCCGCCAACGTTGATTCTTTACTGCGGCTGAAATATTCATTTTTAGAGCGTTAGTGAATTAAAAAAAAACAGTATAAAAACCAGAATGTCCAACTGATAAGGCTGAACATTTTTTCATTTGTTATTTACAGTAAGATAAATACATTCACCAACTTTTATTAAAATAAAACCATTTAAACTGGGTGTTCGGATTTATATGTCACTTAGTATATCTTGCTGTTGAATGCTCTTTGAACTAATCCTGTATATAGCTCAATAAACTAGTAGTGATGTCCGGAAAACAGGTGTTTTGGGATAAACAATTAGAAATTCTCAAAAAATTACTTGACCATTAAACTCCAATATTGCTGTTGTTATTCAGAAGTACGAATCCTTTGAACAATTTCAAGTAGTTGCGTAAAATTATCGTCGCATTACCAACAAGTGCCAAAACCTGCATTTTGCCTGGTTTTCCGGCCATAACAATGTTGCTATTAGTCGGATCTTTTCACGTGGTCTCATTCTGTAGGTCTCATAAATACCTAAAAATCGTACATAAAAAGTTTTTTCGTTCCTGTCAACACTTTCGATTGAATCCCCAAAAACCCGTTATGTCATTCTTTGTCAAATAAAAAGTTTTTCCACACAAAAATTGGTGTAACCATTTTATGCGTCCATGTTTAAAATGCGCCCTTGAACAACTTGCAGCAATAAAACCGGACTTTACAATTATTTCGGAAAAGTTTGCTAATATGATTAGACTATTATGTTAGATGAACGCCTACATTGGAAATATAATACATTTATCAGATTTGCTTAGCGGTGCGTGTAGCCTGTCCAGAAAATGCGTCGATCGAAGCTCAAAGTCAGTACCAAACGTCCCGCATTTCTTCCCGCGTATGTTTCTATTTACAGGTATGTTGCTATATTGGAATTCCTTAAGTCACAGAGCTTCTGCACTACACATGAATATATGTTCGAGTATAGCCCTGTACTCCTGTTCTTGTTTCGTAGAAAAATACATTATCAAAGTAATTACGATCTAATATATATAGTTTTTTCCAAAGATTTCCAACATTTTTACATGCGATCAACACCGATTCGAAAACTGAGAAAACAACAAATATGCCGAAAGTCTGAAGAATAACTGTAACATCTTTATTGAATTTCAAAAAATAATTGACTATAGCTATTGATATTTTTATCACCTGCTGATATACCTAATAGAAGTGTTTGATTGTGTCAGTATTTACACCAATTACTTGATTTGTTTAACGGGTAGTTCAGAGTATTAATCCTTAAGCTTAGTAGACACTAGTAGACCCCGTTGCGTAATTTGTCTATAGGCAGTCTGGAGAAGGTCTCAAGACACGATCTATAGATGGTCTATAGACATTCTTGTTTGTCTCGTCTAGCGTCCATACGATAATGTGAATTTTTCGGTCTCATGTTCGTTTTCGCCATCAAAGACATTGTTTTGTGTGGAATGGCTGGGATATGTCTCGGGGTCCCTCAAAATGTCTTTTTTGGTTAATGAATGAAGTTTTTTATGTTTTAATCTTTAATATTATTACACTAGTTAATTATAAATGCCACGTAATTCTTTTGTTCTCATATAATAAAATATTGCCTTTCTGCGGATTTCTGAGCACATTCCATATTTTTTTTTCGAGTTGGCATTGAACAGATAGAACACAATGGATTTAAGGAGCAAGAATAGGATGAATTCTAGAAGTTCCACTGAGGTAGAAAAATTACCAGCCCCAAATATCGTTTGGAGGCTGCTAAGCGAAAATTTTTAGGGAAACATGAAAAAAGTGGCGACGAGATTTTACAGATCGAACAAGTCACCAAATCACAGGACTGTACTTTGTCGCGCCTTCATCGGAGGATAAGGTTGACAGCGTCTCGAATTGGTGAAGTTTGTAGAAGAAGGCAGACAACAAGCTGTAAACTCCATCATATACCCAACAGACTTTTCTAGTAACACAATAAAAAAGGCAATACAAAAATCATTGGACACCGCAGTTCAGTCTTGTGGTTTGTTTATTGATCGCACACATCCATTTCTGGAAGCATCGCCTCCATCTAGCTATTACACTAGACAAGAAATGTACTTAATCCAGGTAGAAGCCTACCTGTTTATTGCTTTGCAAACACTACCTTACTGTTTCCTCTTATTTTGACGGCATCAAATATTTTTATGACTCTCATTCAATTGTTACCATGTACCTACCACATGACCCTTGTAAACATAATTTTGTTTACTGACATGAATAAACGAATTGTAATTTGAGTTCTTGAATTTATTTTAGGCAAGGTATCAAATTATTTGATTACATTTTTTCTTAGTTGGAACGCACCGTCGCGTCGCTTGGACTGGCAGGACGAAACAGTACACGAATTTCGCCCAAAAACCGATTTGCACTTCACGGCTTACGTTTCATTTTATTATTTCCAAATGAAACTCTTGCAGCGTGCTAAAAACAAAGTCCACAGGGTGCTAACTATCCACTTTTTCGATTTTATCCACTAGGATCTTTTTAAAATATCAAGAAGTTGAGCACAAATTCGATAGTAAGCATTTCAACCCACCATAATTCTTGCGCAAAGACAAAATTTTGTAAAACGCTCTAGAAAAACATCACAAACTGCAGAACCCAAATTGAACGTAACGGCGAAATGGGTACATTTCACGGCTCATGAAATTCAAATGAAAATGCAGGATAAGATCTACCAAATTATCGTTCTCAAATAGATATTTCCTTGACATATCAATAATTTTAAAGTTCCACGCTAAATTCCCCTATACTTGACTGGAGTGATATCCGAATTCAGTCTTCCCTACTGTCGGCAGTTGCAGATAGATCTGTTGGCTCTTGGTGTCAAATCTATAGAGCAGGTACCGATTTTTTCAAATCATGGGCACATTATTCGTCGGATTTTCGTTACTTAAATTTCCTGTAATCACTGGGATCAGAAGCTTCTTAATAATAGAACGTGTTTCACTGATATCAAAGATGCAACATTCAGAATCACCTTCCCCCAACCCCCACTTTCTAAGCAGCACATTTTTTTTCTGTCAATGATAAGGAACCCCTGTAATGTCAAAAACGGAGTTTCTGTCATTGTTACTTTTTCTTTTTTGCCACTAGACTAAAACTACAAAGCTTTATCATACTAGTAACCCCGTGTAGAAATTTCATAAAAATCCGAGCGGTTATTTCCAAGTTGATGAGTGATACAGTTTTTCGTGATGTCATATGAATTAAAAAACATAACATCTCATTTTTGAAATTTTTCGCGGTTACAATACTTCCTCGCCAATGACGTGGGAAGTAAAACGGCTTTAAAATCGAGGAGTATCAGCGATCGCGATTATGAGTACCTGTTTGCAGAACGACTTATCTACGCGATATTATATGAAATAAGGCCACCAAATTATCTGAATACGTCCTTTCTTAGTCCGTACATTGCGCCGCAACGCTTGGGTTGGCAGCACGAAACAGTAGACAAAATTCGTCCAAAATACGATCCCATCATAAAACTTGTGCAAAAACAAAATTTCAAAGGTGCTCCTATAGCACCCTGGGCAATTATCTTATCAACATACTGTATGAATTTCACTCAAAAATATTGAAAAATGGAGTGTCAGTTTTGAAGCAGCTGAACCCTTGTAAATGGCTTGAAACTCACTGCGTCGGAGCCGCCTTAAAATCCCATTTCTTTTACCGTTCCTTTAGAATTTTGTAAAACCAATTCCGACTTAATTTGAAAACTACACGCTACTGTCTTACTGATGATGGTTGTCCTCGATATACGTTTCATGCATTCAACTATAAAAATTCCTATAGATTCATTCAGTACACATTTATGAATTTCAGATAAAATCATGTAATAGAGAGAAAATCTTAATACCGGTTTCTCAGAATTTTATATTTTTATTCTCTTATCTCTATATTATAAACCGGTTGTGCAAAAGTGGTTCATGTGATAAGGCCATGATGTATCTACATTTGCTTGATATAACGTAGAAACCAAACCATGTGCGTTTAGTGCATACGAGGGTTGTCTCAAAAATATGGTTTTCAACTCTGTATACAGAGTGACTTTGAAGTTGAGTCATTAATTTTCAGATAATGATTGTAGAAGGAAGATAAACCAAAATATGTGTGTAAAAATAAAAAAAAAATAAAAAAAAATGTTACCTTGTTTTATAAAGTATCCTCCCGACAAGTATTTCAGTGCGGACCTGTATTTGATCGTGCGGTCTTGGAGCACCGGCATGCGCTCTCCTGTGAGGTCTTAAGTCACCTGATTCACGAGCCCTTTGTACTACATTAACAAAGGCACGAGGGGTTGGTTGCACTCGATTGGGAAACCGATTCGCATAAATCCGTGATGCCGCGGCAGCATTTTGTAAAGACTCCCCCCCCGTAAATAAGAATCATGTCCACAAGTTCAGCATTTTCGTAAACATGTGCCATTTTTTATTTCGTTTGAGCCACGCAACAAACACCACTATTCACTCACGCGTTACCGACTGACACATTGACTGACATCGTGATAAACGTTTCAAATTCTTTCGCTTTTTTGTTTCCGATGCGATGAACCGATAAGGCGGATTATATCCGTTGTTGCCAAACACGAGCACATAATATTATTATTGCGACAGGGCGGTACTCAAACTTCTAAAGTGCTATAACTTTGTTAATTTAATTTTACCAGAAAAATGTTAAAGGAAAAAAACATTTCTTTTGATCAGATCTACTCACTGTTAAAATAAATGACTCAACTTCGAAGTCACCCTGTATATGCAGCCCGTGATGCTAGGCGAGATCTCGTAACACCGTCGTGTTTGTCGGATCCCCCACCACCGATCCTAACAACAAGCGCCTATTTGCGTTTCTCGGTACCGGCCCCATCGCCAGGGGCGAAACTGGATTCAGCGTGATGGATAATAATTATTATTGTCACTGATGAACAGGTACAAACGACAGCTTCTTTCTTCAGCGTGACAGGAATGACGTCCTCAGCCGTCACCAAAATTCTCGTTCCTCGTGTGCTCCGCTGGCATTGCTAACCGTCAAGTTTGATCGGTGCTGACGTCCTCGACACACGACTTCATTATGGTGTCGCTGTTCGCTCCTCTGCTCCAACTTTGAGGATGCGGTGTCTCAAGTCCATGGCTGTTCATCGCGTCCAGTCCCAGAGTCCCAGGGCACGATGGCGGAAGTTCTCGGAGCCGATCTGCATCGTCACGTCCGCCTCTCCACGTACAGCAACGGCAGCTCCCTTCGCGATGCCTAGCTTCTAGGTGGGACGAAAGTAGCTTCCGTAAACTTTTCATCGGACATATGACTTTCATGGCTCCGGTATCCACCAGGAATGAATATACCCTGCCGTTGATCCTTCCATTCGCGCATAAGCTTCCATCCTGGTACCGTACTGAAGCCATTAGCACAATAGGATAGAGGCGCTGATGGCGACGTTACCTCCCTCAGCACCTTCGCTTGAAGCTTCTCGCCTGTCTCCCCAATGATTAATTCATTTCTGAGGACACGATTAATGTGGTCCATCTTCAATGAGAGGGCCTAATTCTCCTCCTTCAGCATCTGCGACAGGGCATGGTTCTCCTCCCTCAGTCTGCGTCTGTAAGTCGGCAAACGCTCTCGAATGTGAACTGGCGCTCCCTAATGAGGTCATAATCGCCCATGCTCAGTCGCGTAACTCTGGTTGCATAAGCGTCGATACTGCAAGATGGCACTTCGCCACTCAAGGCCCCAATTACGAGTGCGTTACAGTATTAATAAACTAGCATCAAAAAATTACGACACACTCTTCCCCACTCCCAAAACTTTACTCCTAAAAAACATCAAAGAACAAATTTTGAACGATTATTATTTTTTTTTCGAAAAACACCAAGCTCTTTCGTCCTTCACATGATAGTAACCTAGTGTATAAATTTCATTCAAATCCGAGCAGTGCCTTCCAAGCTATGGACAGGCCAAGGAACTGCGGACAAGCCGACAGATAGGCCGACGGACAGACAGACCGACATATACACCGACAGCCATACAGACAGACAAACCGACAGACAGACAGATAGACCGACCGACAGACATACTGACAGGCAGACCGACAAACAGACCAACAGGCAGACAGACAGCCCGACAGACAGACAGACAGACCGGCAGACCCACAGTCAGACCGACAGACAGACCGTCAGACAGACCGGCAGACAGACAGACCGACAGACAGACCGACAGACAGACCGACAGACAGACAGACAGACAGACAGACAGACCGACAGACAGACAGACCGACAGACAGACAGACCGACAGACCGACAGACCGACAGACCGACAGACAGACAGACCGACAGACAGACAGACAGACAGACAGACAGACAGACCGACAGACAGACAGACAGACAGACAGACCGACAGACCGACAGACAGACAGACCGACAGACAGACAGACCGACAGACAGACAGACCGACAGACAGACAGACCGACAGACCGACAGACAGACAGACAGACAGACCGTCCGAGTGACAGACAGACAGGCAGACCGATAGACCACCGCCAGGAGGTCTGTGAATAGTACTGTTTATCTATGATACTCGCGCGATATTTGACTTCTATGCTCCTCGTCGTTTCTGCAAGACTGACACAAATCTATAGGTTTCTGAAAGTCGCACTGACGATCAGGCTTTCTTCGTAAAATTCGTAGATTGGACACTTTTTATCAGAAACGCGAGGAGGTATGAAAATGGTACTCTGTCTTCACTATGAGATAAGAACGAAATTTAAATTCATGACATCGATGCCTCTTGCCGTTTCTGCGATCTTGTTACAGATCTGCAGGTTTCTGGAAATTGCTCTGTCATTCAGACTTTTCTAGTAAAATTGGAGGGCGGCGAGGTGCTATCAAGATCACAGAAGCGCGAGGCGGATTGTCAATTTTACTCTACTTATACTATAATGTGGGTGCAAAATTTTTATCTTTGGATCTATGCTCCTAGTCGTTTCTGAAATTGTTTTACAGATCAATATGTTTCTGAATATCGCACTGGCTGTAAAGCTGGTAGATTGGAGAATTGCTATTAGGTTTACAAAAACACGAGGAAGTATGCTAATGATACTCTGCTCCTGCTTGCCGTTTCTGCGATCCTGATACAGATTTACAAGTTTCTGGAAAGTGCTCTATTTTCCAGACCTTTCTCGTAAAATTGGTGGACGGAGAGTTGCAATCACAGAAACGCGAGGAGTTGAATGAGTTTTACTATGCTTATGCTTTGATGTTGGCGCGAAATTTTGATCTTTGGCATGTATGCTCCCAGTCGTTTCGGCAATCGCGATACATATCTACACGTTTCTGAAAATCGCACTGTCTACCACAGATCCTTCGTAAAATTGGTAGATTGGAGGCTTATTACCAGGATCACAGAAACACAGTATGTGTATTTTACTCTGCCTCTGCTACGATTTTGTCGCGAAATTTTGATCTTTGGCATCTATGCTCCTAGGCGTTTCTGCTAACGTGACACAGATCTATATGTTTCTGAGTATCTCACTAACAACCACAGCTTCTTCGTGGCGCTGGTAGATTGGAGAATTGCTATAAGGCTCACGAGGAGGTGTACAAATGGCACTCTGCTCCTGCTAGGAGGTTTCGGGAAATTGCACTGTCAACCACCGTGGATCGTGACTTACTATCAGGATCACAGAAACGCAGATGTACTAAATAGTACTGTGCTCTTCCTTAATACTCGCGTGAATTTGGACCCTTGGCATCTGTGCTCTTCCTCCTTTCTGCAATCCTGATCCAGACCTATAAGTTTCTTAAAATCGCAGCGTCATCGTAAGATTGATAGATTGTGTAGACTTGTTATCAGGTTCACAGAAACTCGAGGAGGTATACAAATGGTACTCTGGTCGTGCTAGACTTTTCTCAAAAATTGATGGACGATGAGCTGTTATCAGGATCACAGAACCGCGAAGAGCTATGTGAATGGTACTGTACTGTATCTATGATACTCGCGAAAAAACTGGATACTTGGCATCTAAGCTCCTGGCTGCTTTTGCAGTCCTGATACAAACCTATAAGTTTCTGAAAATCGCGACAGCTTAATCGTAAAATTGATAAATCGGAGATTTGTAATCAGGATAACTCAAATGCCATGATGTATGCAAATAGTACCCTGCTCCTGCTATGAAATAAGGCAGAAATTTAAATCCATGATATCGAAACTCTTGCCGTTTCCGCGATCCTGATACAGATCTACAGGTTTCTGGAAATTGCAGTGTTACTGCTACTATGTTATCGCGAATTTTTTATATTTGGCGTCTGTGCTCCTAGTCGTTTCTGCAATCGAGATGAAGATCTATATGTTTCAGTATATCGCACTGTCGACGACAGATCCTTCGTAAAATTAGTAGACTGAGAAATTGTTACCAAGTTCACAGAAACGCAAGGAGGTATACAAATGGTGCTCTGCTTCTGCTATGGATCCGAATTTTGTTCTTATCTCATAACAGGACTAGAGTACCATTTGTATACCTCCTCGCGTTTCTGCGAAGCTGATAACAAGTCTCCAATCTATCAACTTCACAATGAAGCTGTGACGATTTTGAGAAACTAATAGGTCTGCATCAGGTTCGCAGAAACTCCGAGGAGCATTGATGCCAAGGATACAAGTTTTACGCGAGTACCATAGATACAGCACAGTGCTATTTACATACGTCCTCGTGGTACTGTGATCTGGATAGCAACTCATCGTCCATCAATTTTACGAGAAAGGTCTGGTCGAGAGTGCAGTTTCCAGAAACCTGTAGATCTGAAACAGAATCGCAGAAACGGCAAGAGGTATCCATGCCATGGATTTGAATTTCGTGCTTATCTCATAGCAGGAGCAGAGTGCCATTTGCATACCTTCTCGTGTTTCTGTAAGCCTGATAGCAATTTTCCAGTCTACCAACTTCACGGAGAACCTGTAGTCTGCAGTGCGATATTCAGAAACATATAGATCTGTTTCACGATTGCAGAAACGACTAGGAGCTTAGATGCAAAAAATAAAAATTTCGCGACCAAATCATATGATGCAGATCTATAAATTTCTTAAAGTCGCTCTGTCGTCCAGGCTTAGTAAAATTGGTATATTTGTTATCAGGTTCACAGAAATGCCAGAAATTATGCAAATAATACTCTGCTCCTGCTATGAAATAAGCACGAAATTCAAATACATGGCATCGACACCGCTTGCCGTTTCTACAATCCTGATACAGATCTATAGGTTTCTGGAAATTGCACTGTCGACCAGACCTTTCTTGCGAAATTGGTGGTGCTATCAGTACTCGCGTGAATTTGGATCTTTGGCATCTATGCACCTCGTCGTTTCTGCAATTCCGATACAGACCTATTAGTTTCCGAAAATCGCCATAGCTTCATCATAAAACTGATAGATTGGAGACTTATTAGCAGGTTCACATTAACCGAGAGTTGTTATGCAAATGGTGGTCTGGTCCTGCTATGAGATAAGAACGAAATTCGAATCAATGGTATCAATGCCTCTTACCGTTTTTGCGATGTATGAAACTCGACCAGACTTTTCTCGCAAAATTGATGGACGATGAATTGCTATCAATATCACAGAACCGCGATCATTAACGACCATTTGGAAAAAGGCCACTTTCCAAACAGATGGAAACAAGCTCTAATTATTCCATATCCTAAAAAGATCTCCAGCGACAATAATTCCCTCAGGCGTGCCTCAGGGCCACTTCTATTCCTCATATATACTTTCGACAAAAGCAAAAGTAGTGACAATTCTAATGTCAATAAATTGATTAAGGACTCTTGAGATCATAATCCACTTGTTAATCACAAAAATCTGATGTTATTATTTTGCGCCCAAAGGAAAGAAGACAATGTGACACATCTCTTGATCATTCAGATAAATAACCAAATCTTGCAACTTTCTGATTCTGCAAAAATTCTTGGTATTGCTTTTGATACAAAATTAAGGTTTATTAAGCATGTCTTTCACAGAAAACCTGTCTTAAGGCCGTCTCTCACGATACGAAATTTTATGCTAAATTTAGTACCAAATTTTGTGCTAAATTTAGTACCAAATTCTGTGAGCAAATTCGCTAATGAATTTAGTTCCCAGTTTGTTTACAAATTACAATCCTGTCTGACACGTAAATAAATTTTTGTACTAAATTTCGTACGAAATCATGCGCAGTTGGTAGAAGAAAACTATAACTGTCAACTTCTGCCATTTATCACGTCAAAGTCATTCTAATTACACTTTCCTTTGCGGTTGCTACTTTATTCCTTCAATTGTAGAAAATGGAGCGATCCCGTAATTCGCATATATTATATGCGACTGCGGCAGCAGCGATCTGCGTTGTAGCTGCCCACCTCATGAGAAAACGAAGTA